GGATGTCACGCAACGATTCCCCCAAAGAAGGAGGGAGCGTTGCGTGACATCCCAGAAAACGGAGGAGGCTATAGGAACTGAAGATTGGTGTTAAATTTTATAACGAATTTAAAGGTGCAAGTTTACAATACTCGTAAAATACCCGACGAGTTTCCGATTCTTGTCGGCAAATAACAAAATTTTCCGACCATTCACGAATGCTCCGAAGCTTGTCGATGTCATGTGACTAACTCGATCATAGCAAAAGCAAACAGAAAAATAAGAGAGAAAAACATAGTATACTACACCAACTTCCTAATGCAATCAGAAATTCCCTCGCTTGGCTAACTAAACTTCTGGGCAGTTGGAGCTCAAGATTTTGAAAAATATTACGGCAGTACCTTCCAAATGTGCCAATTTTTGCCGATCGTATATGAATTCTACAACTTAGGGGTAATTTCATTCGATCTGTAATTTGAAATTCACAAACTTCATTTCTATAATTTCCTTTTCTGTTGGACTTTTATTTGTTTTTACTAACTCCTAGTTTTGTTTTAGCCTTCAACTGAGTCCAGAATGAAGAAAAAAGATAAGATGGGAAAACAAGAGCAGAGCAAGACAAAGAAAAAAGAAGTAAGAACTTTCAGTGGTTTTCTTATCTGCATCAACCGTTTGCTTATTAACTAATGCTGGTAAATTGGCTCAATTTTGCAAGAGCTTATTCCTGATTTTATCTCTCAAAAAACCATGAAGTTAGCTAACCTTCGGAAAGCAAGCGAGAGAAAGTAGACTGAAATAAATCGCCTGGTGGAATAAAGAATTGAAAACTAAACGCTCAAAACTAACGGAGAAAAAAAAAAACACTTCAAGTTTGATTAATAGGCCATATTCGTATTCTCGGTATTGGACTGGAACTAGCTTGAAATAGAGGCTTGTGCGGGGGAATATCATTAGTAATTTAAAAAAGCGACTAGAGTCATTTGCATTTAAAACGACTCCCCGTATTAGCCTCAGTTGCAAGCTAGTTCCAGTCCGATACCGAGAATACGAATATGGACTATTGTGTGCTTCTCATCTGCATGGCTTGTGTAGAAGTCACCCGCGGCCCAGTCCATTGACGATGTGCTGACAACCTCGAACGGCACGNAATTCCCTCGCTTGGCTAACTAAACTTCTGGGCAGTTGGAGCTCAAGATTTTGAAAAATATTACGGCAGTACCTTCCAAATGTGCCAATTTTTGCCGATCGTATATGAATTCTACAACTTAGGGGTAATTTCATTCGATCTGTAATTTGAAATTCACAAACTTCATTTCTATAATTTCCTTTTCTGTTGGACTTTTATTTGTTTTTACTAACTCCTAGTTTTGTTTTAGCCTTCAACTGAGTCCAGAATGAAGAAAAAAGATAAGATGGGAAAACAAGAGCAGAGCAAGACAAAGAAAAAAGAAGTAAGAACTTTCAGTGGTTTTCTTATCTGCATCAACCGTTTGCTTATTAACTAATGCTGGTAAATTGGCTCAATTTTGCAAGAGCTTATTCCTGATTTTATCTCTCAAAAAACCATGAAGTTAGCTAACCTTCGGAAAGCAAGCGAGAGAAAGTAGACTGAAATAAATCGCCTGGTGGAATAAAGAATTGAAAACTAAACGCTCAAAACTAACGGAGAAAAAAAACACTTCAAGTTTGATTAATAGGCCATATTCGTTTTCTCGGTATTGGATTGGAACTAGCTTGAAATAGAGGCTTGTGCGGGGGAATATCATTAATAATTTAAAAAAGCGATTAGAGTCATTTGCATTTAAAACGACTTCCCACATTAGCCTCAGTTGCAAGCTAGTTCCAGTCCAATACCGAGAATACGAATATGGACTATTGTGTGCTTCTCATTTGCATGGCTTGTGTAGAAGTCACCCGCGGCCCAGTCCATTGACGATGTGCTTACAACCTCGAACGGCACGACGTTTTACATCCTGGTGGAGCCTGGGGAACACGGTCTGCCTGAGAGTCCAGAGAGTGTTAAGAGTATGAGGACTTGTCTTACCTTTCTAACGGATACACAAGGTACAGTACACCATGTGCAAATTTCTTACTGTATAGTCGTCACTCGCTTCAGTTTCGGATTTGATTCTTGTTGGCTTTCCCAACTTTTCACCTATCAACTGTCCGTGAAATGTTATCGGCATGTTGATACATGTGGATTTCTCTCTGTTAAATTGTCTTGATAGCGTTTCCTGTTGTTACAAGCTTCCATTAAACTAGAAACGTTTTATTCTCAAGCACAAGCTCCGTACTTTAACATAACAATCTCCGAGGACATGGCTCATCCCCGACGAAATCCCAGCATACACTGCGGTACATTAACTTGCGGTCACACACTCAACATAACATGTCACGCACTCTACGCTGTCATCTCCACCTTCACTGTTATTTCTAAAATGAAAAGAACATTTCTTTTATTTCTTTTTTAGAAGAAGATGAAGAAGAGGAAGATGCTTTGCCGTCTTATATTGAAGCCATCGTCATCAGGGAAGAACTTTTCTTGGACCTCAGAAAACAGTAAGTAAGCTTACCATTAGTCCTGGGCAAGCCCTTCTTGTCAATTAAACAGGTACGACAGTAAAGGTCTGGTCTCGAGACACCGACGTAGAATGCGAAATACAATGAACATTGAAGAAATGACTGATCATCGCAGTTACATACACAACTTAAGCAGCTGCGATACCGGTGCAGTGCTCTACGAACTGAGCTAACAAGCCAACTGGGGGCTGGTCACTTTGTGAGTTCGTAATATACCCGTAGATGGTGAAGATACAAGTGTATATTTGAAAGATCATATACTTGAACTGCGGAGAAAGATATCCGCATTTCAAGTATATGATCTTTCATATATTCACTGACAATGAACATTTGCGCGCCCAGTTGCCAAATGCTAGCACTAGAACTGGATGCAAGACTATCTTTTTAGGAGTCAATGTTGGCATTCAAGATGGTGGTTGAATACATTTTTTTCAAACATTTCCTTCTGTTGTAGAAGAGTCAATGTATACTTATGTAAAAAAAAAGACATTTTAAGTTTTTGTAAAGTGCAGCACGCAAACTGATCTAACTGGCTTGTGGCTTTATTATATCTGTAGCATACGAATGGAATTTTTAGAACATCTTGAAGAATGGAAGATACAGGCCATGGACAGAGCAAACAGCGTAGTAGCAGCTAAGGTAAACATTTAGATCTGCAGTATTGTACATTTGCACGTGGATGTACACACGTAATTGTTTTTCGGCATTTTTTTTTCACAACGTTTAAGGCTTGTGCGTAGGCTCTTTGCCAGTGTTCAATATGGTGTGAAATATATTGTAAGTGTTCCTAGAACTTTTCGCAAGCTTGCTAATCAGCAATGTTAAGGTCCCAGGGGAATTCCCTTATATAGAAATGACAAGATGCTAGTCGCAAATTCCGTAAAGAACCCCCTCAGAGGTACCAGACTCTTACTTTATGGGGATGGCTCAACTCTTACTTTGTGGGGATGAAACAACTAATTAACTTACATTGACAATTTGATATTGTGATGGTGACTATGTTACAGGTAAATGAAAAAATTTCAAATTGGAATTAGTCGATTAACGCAAAGTTTTACAACATCTTTTACTGAGCTCACCAACCTAAAAGGTAGGGCGAAAATTCTGAACCGAACCTGGACGCTCGTTTGAGAATTAAGTATATTTACATTATATTTTTTAACAGACTAAACGGTACCAATTGACAAATTTTTCCCCCAAATGTTATAACAAGCAACCTGTCATAGTTATAGATGAATCCGCCGCCCTCTTCCATGGTCAGGGGGCAGGACGTGGTAGGGGAATTTACTGAATCCGTATTCTTTTGACAACAGGCGCTTGGACGATTTGTTGATTATCGCATTTCTAATTCTTTGGCTTGGATTCGTCGGTGGGTTGCATAATTGAGATTGTTATTCCCTTTTTTGTAGGTAGAGGAGTTAAACAGTGAGTTAGACTTGCGGCTTCATCTCCACGAGCCAAGAGCTGCCAGAGCGGAGCAGGACGTGCATAATGTGAGAGCAGGTAGGTACACTGTTAGCTGTCATGATTTAGACCTTTTAAAAGTCCTTTCAACAAATCTTCCCTGGCTTTTTGGTTTCGCCGTCGCTTCGCTCGAGGAAGATGTATAAGCGAAGGATTAAGCAAAGGTCGACTTGTGGCAAGACTATACATGCATGGTTGTAATCTTTTGAAATTTTAAGAACCCGTAACCCTATAAGAGATTTTAGCGTCCGATTTCCCAGAAATCTAATGTCCTATTTTTTCATGGTCCTGCAGCGGAATTGGTGATGCATCGAGAGCGAGTTGAACGGCACTGCAAGGGTGTTACTACGTCTCTAAATGAGTTCAAGGCGAGGTTCCAACAGATGGTAGAAGAACATGATAAGGAGGTCAGTCAAGAACTGCCTTGTTATTTGAAAATGTCAATCGATGGATATGTTGGTCGTGGAAGTGTCCTAGGAGATCTCCTAACGAATTAAATAAGCTAACTACAGAACCAGATGCATTAGTTGGAGAAAAGAAAGACCGCACACCACAAGTTTAACGTGGAATTGCAGTCTTTTTCAGTTAAAGTAACTTGTAACACTTAAACGAAAAACTAACGAACCTAAACGAAGGTGCCATGGAGAAACTAAACTTCAAGTATTCAACATCAGTGGTCTCATAAAAACATGTCACCGGCTAGCCTCCTGACTGACTGTTTCCATTTTGTATTTCAGACGGACATTTTCAAACAATCCGTTCAAGAGCTTGAGGCGACATTCACTTCAGCGACAAAAACTCACGAGTACGTAACTGTGTTTTTATACTGATGTTCACTCTTAAGCCATTCCTTGGCCGGATTAATCTGTCAGGATCAATGTAGTAGATTAGCGCGTTTTGGGCAAATCGCCGTTGGAATTTCCGATACTTATTGCCCAATCGCTAAGAAAGAGCAAGAGCACTGCGAAGATTGTTACGCCAGGATTCGTTGTGTTACTGAGCAGTATCCCAGTCGAACTGGTGGTCTTTGTTGTTGACAGAAGTAAGGGTCCCTTTGTGAATTTTTCCTTTCAGACTCTTGGTGATCCAAGATCAAGTTGCAGGACGTGTTGAGCAAGTGAGAACTTTTTCATTGCATTTAAATCTACATTCTGATGGTCACCGCGCTCCAAGCAGCTCCATTGGAAAATTTCAGTTTAGTTGACATACTGTATCTCTATAGAGTCTGCTGCGCCCGTTAATTGGCTACAGTGTGTTAAATCAGTATTCCTCACTTAACATTCAATGTGCATTTTTAAAAACAAATATTACTCAGTTGCTTCGGTCAAGGTTCTGCAGACAAAAATAGTAACCGTATATGATTTTTGGTTAGAAAGGATTGGATGTGAATATTTCAGAGCACGCGAGACAACCCCCTACCCAGGGTCTCTCTTCTTCCTTAGAGAGACCCTGAGCACTAGGTTGCACGAGAGATCAGCTGCAGGCTGCGTTCTCGTATCTTCTTCAAATTATCAGTTTCTCGTCGTCAATCTTTCTGCCAGTAATCCAGATTCCCATCTAAATCCTAGTTAATCTGTGGATTGCTCTGTTTGGTTTGTGTCCATAGTACATGGATGTAATCAGAACTTCCCTCAGAAAGTTTCGTCACGATCTGGATGACATGCTGAGCACTGTGCGGAACTCAAACGCAAGATTCAGAAAAACATTCAAGTAAGAATTGCGTGGCTGTCAAGACTAGGAGCTGGGATATGGGTGAAGGGGTTGTAATTTTGAAACTCTTTGAAGTAGGGGTGGCTATAAAGTAGTAATGATATTGTAAATATTCGTGCGTTTTTATCAAGAGCCCCTGGCTCGGGAGATTGGGCAACCACTCCCTCACGTTTATGACTCAAAATAAAGTTACCTTACCTTACCTTACCTTAGCTCCGTATTGAGTGCCGTTTAATGATGTTGGCTTGTCAACCTTGATACATGTAGCTGAGTGTCTTTTTAGGCTCAGTGTTTAAGACATCGAATTTGGTTTTTGAAATCTTTGAAGCGTAAGCAAAGTTACTCTCAGTAAAACTGGAATTGGTGGAAGTTTTTAGGTCCCATAGGAGTGTATCCCATCAAACATGACGTGGACCACGTTTTTGCTTCATTTTGTTGTTGCCGGCTATGCAGGCTCAATCAGCTCTTGGGCTTGAAACAGTTGAATTACAGTAATAAATGCAACGCAATCTGCCCATATCAGTTCCTTTTTGCTTCTTCCCTTTGTATTCAAATGTTTTCTTGGATCCACACGCAAGATTATGCCAGTGTATAATACGGTTCTCTGCGGTTGTCCCTACCGTAGACTTACAACTTTCCTCAAGCTTTGTTTTCTACACTCTCTAGGGTATTTTCCGACGGTGGCAATTTTTCAACGGATGAAGTCGATGAGTACAGAAAGAAACTGGTGAGTGCTTCTTATCCGTTCTCTGTTTGTCCCGTTTAGCTCTCCTCTTAACATTCAAAGTAGTACAAGTCGGGAAATCTTCACTGCAACTGTGATTCTCAAATATTAGGAACGCATGGCGAGTAAGATCGACTCTTCAGAGGGATCCTTCATGGCTGAACTGGAGGGAATGGAATCCAAGAGACTAGAAGCAGCTACCGACTATGCTGGCAAGTTAGAAGATAGGTGGGTTGTGCTGTATAAATAGTTAACTTACAAGATGAATTTTTTGTTTTTTTGCCAAGTGCACTTCAACGTCTTGCTCGCCCTCTCCAATCTTATATATACGTTCCATATCTCATGGTGTAAAATCTTACTCTCCCCTCAACTAATTAGGGTAGTTTTATGTGAGCGCATTAAGACCACCACTGTTAACTCAATACCTTGCACCAAGCCACTAAATCTCTAGCTTGGGTGCAGACGTCTAGAATTTCTTTTTCCGTGTAAAAGGAAAAAGTGTACGTCCTCAAGCAGGCTACAAAAAACGTCGACCCAAAATATAGAAACCTTTCCTGTTGCGAACCCTATAACTAAGACTTTACCTTGTAAGCAAGGAATTCAATTTTGTTTTTACGTTGCTCTGTAGGTTTAAAAATCATTTGTTTGACTTGACATTTATGGAAAAAGTGACTAGATGGCTGACAAACACTCAAGTCAAGGTCAAAAGCGAAGTAAGTAATTCACAAAAATAGAACGGATGATTTTTATGGGGACTCTCATATCAGTTACTAAATCGGACAATCTTCTGCTTTGTCTGAGATGTGTTTCATAAAAGATGTTCATTTCTGCCTTTTATTAGGTTGCATTCAGTAATTCTCAGGCCAAAAAGCTCGCTATCTATCTGTCCACGTTTGAGCGCCATATTGATGCGGTAGAAAAACCCAATCTTGACAAAGAGGTGAGATACATTCTCAGTCATATGAGTCAGTGAAATCAGTCCGAGGGTCGAAGTTAGTGAGGACTTCCTACAACAATTTCAAACGCAAATAAAATAGATGTAACTTAGAACAATCAGCTCTGAATTATACTTGTTTCATTTGCGTTTAAAACTGTTGTAAAAAGTGAAAACTTCCTCCTTCAGTAATGCTGATGATTGCATTGCCATTAAGTCGTTATTTATTATGATGGACAGTTGTTCTATACAAACAAAATTAGCTGCAGTATGCGGCAAAGTGAACTTTTTTTTCTTTCATCTTCATCAGCAAGTAACAGCTCGTGAAGTGCAAAGCAGCCTCATTCCAATCCTTCAAACATTCCATGAGAGGTCCATGTACCTAAATTGTCTCCTCAACCCAGCCACGCCCAGTCTGGCTGCCTTGCAGGCTGGATTCAAGAGAAAAGAGGAGAAAAAGGAAGAAGAGAGAAAAGAAGAAAAAGGCTCCAAGGGAGCACTCAAGTTAGTTGGGACCATTCAATCTCTTTGAAAAGGATCTTATACCTGTTAATTCTCATATGAAATGCGGCCTGTTTATTTGTTTGTTTGGACTAGATATTAAGCAACTGAGGATCTCTGTTGCTTGAAGAGTTTCCAGATTTGCCGGTTGAGAAACAAAGGATTCTCTATTTGTAGTTTTGGTTCCTGACTATTCAGAAGATTCTGCATGAAGGCGGATCATGTACTCTTGTTAATATGTGACAATGTAAAGACTTTTAAAATTGTGTTTAGTCATCCTCTTTTTCTTGAAGCTTTCTTCCTCTCCTTTCAAATCTGCTGCCAAGTTGAAAGCATTCTTACTTTACCCAATCGACTATCTTCTTTCTGCTACTTACCTCAACTATGGTTTCAGATGTTTGAATGTGGGTTTGTCTTCCTCTGAACAGCTACAAGTTGTAGAACCCATACCTTGGCCAAGAGTGAATCGTCTTTGAGTTATTTTCGTTATCTGTTTAAGCACAGAGTGAATGTAAATGATTTCCATCCACCTATGTGTGTTCCTTCTTTCTGCCTAGTCTTCATGTGACCAATGCTCCAGATAATGAGCGGGCCGAGGTAAAAAACCTGACAAGTCCCGCCGCCTGACCCGACAAATTAGTAGAAAACTTCCGATTATTTGGCGAAGTTCTTACATGTATCTAGTGACCCGTGGTATTACGTTTTGTCTCCACGCCCTTTCCTGTCTAGATATTCTTCTCTGTTTCATGTCAGAAGACGCAGGAAGCGTGGGTTCTTGTATACCATTATCCCGGCGTAACCACCTGTACACCTTTGTATTTGTACTTCGTAGCATAATCATCTTTCTTTTTCCCCCCTCTATCTTTGTGCTATTTTTGCAATGTGATACTTCTTGTTTGAGCATCCTTCTCTTTTATTCTTGTCTTTCCATTCTTTGACTTCCTTCTGTCCATCTCAGTACAATCGCGGAAGAAGAACTTGAAGATCTCCTCTCAGACTCCAGTGAGGATGGACTGAATCCCTTGGTTCAGACTCCGGTTGTCAGAGACACGATCTTGTCTTGGCGTCGCGTGTACAACTTTCCTTCGCCAGAAAATTTTCGTCGCTTTGTAGAGAGTCCTTCTTCACCGACGCAGTCTGAAGGAAAGGCTTCTCCAAAGTATGCTTGCTGTTAATTCTTTCAGAACTTCTTTGTCTTTTTCTCTATGCTTTGCATTTTCTTGTTAGGGATGGTAGTTTTTGAGCAGTGATCTTTCCTGTAGATATTTGTTTTTTTGAGAGACGTCGTCAAATGTGTGTCTGCGTTCATGCATCTGTTACGTTTAATTTCTTTGCTTCTTTCTTGTCATTACCCACGTGTTTGTGAGGCACTCCTCTATTACTAGAGGAGGACTAATCAACTCTCGATGGTGTGTATTTAATTCTTCCCGTAATCTTCATGCTAAATCGCATGGGTTTAACAAAATGTAAAATGCTTTGTACGCGGGCCACGAGAGTTAGTTTAGGCGAATCAACTTGAGCCAAAGTAAGTCTTGAGAGTAGAAGTACTTCTGAGTTCTCCATTTGTAATCAGGCTTTGTAATCAAAAGACGATGCTATTGTATGTTCCTGGTGATGTCAACAGAGTTTAGCTGTTGTAGAGAGAAATGAGATTTTTTCTGTAAACTTTCTTTAAAACAACTGCAGATACCACTGCAGTGTTTCAACAAATTAACTTTCTCTCTTTATCTGCCGTGATTTACGTGAAATATGCTCATGATTTCTTGCCTAGTGTCTTTACTTTATGTGCTTGTGCTTTTGCCTGTCGCAGATCCAAGAAAAGCAAAAGAAAGTTGTCCCAGAAGGTTTTAATAGGAAGCAACGAGACAACAGATTCTACTGAACCGCAAAGTGGAGAAGGCTTGAAACCCAAGAGTACTCGTGAGTGACAGGTTTACTCTGTATTTGCCAGATGATGGTGTGTTCAAGCTGCATTCGTGATTTCAGTGATTTGATTTAATCTTATTTACGGCAATGTCCATTTCCAGCGTCTCTTTCGAGGGCAGCCAAGGCCGCCGAGAGTGATGGAAGACCAAAGACAGTCCCAGGCGAGGTAAAGATGGGAGGTGTTTAGGGCTTCACTATTGTTTCATGAGTAATAAATAAATTCCCCATAATCCCTTCACGTCACTGTAGTTTATTTCACTTGAACACCATAGACTTAGAACGGGATTGTTAGAGCGGTTTTCATTTGAGTGTCGAAAAGTAATTGATTTTGCACTTACTACGCTACGCGATTGGCTTAAAAAACTCGCGCCAAGTCGCGACTCGTTCGCACACGTTTTCCCGCGCTTCGCGTCAGCTAGTTGTAATTACTTCGAGTTTTGATTGGCCCATTGTATTGTCTATTTTCTTTGTGATTGGCTAGATCGATTACTTTGGTCTTGGTGCAACGACACTCCATTGAAAACCGCTCTGTTACGTTTGTGAATTGACGCAATGAAGAGGACTGAAAAATGATCGGTGTTTGAAATAGAAGGTTAAATCGTTGTCTTTCCTTTTAAGCTGAGCCACACGCTGTCTGATTTGGACAAGCAGGCTGGAAGACAAAAGAGCGCTGGGTGAGAATATTAGTCAATTACATTTTGCATTTTTTTTTTTACTGTTTTCCAATTGACCGAACCAGCCGTTTCGTACAGAGGTTTTTCATGACGTCAAGCAAATGTGGGAATTTCGGAGAGATCAAATTCTTCGGAAATTGTTTAGTCCATGCAATTAATCTGTAGTTTGTATTTTTCTTTTTTCACATGTCCTTAGAAGTCGTAAGTTAAGTGCATCCAGACGAGATCCTCTTGGACCCAGATATGACAAGAAGTACCTGGTGTTCGGTGAAAAGATGGAGGATGGAAAGTAAGTTTCTTGTCTTGTGTTTTCACTACTTGTAGGTTGTGTCACGTGCGCGCACGTGTTAGCCTTATTTTTTCATCCTCGTTCGTCTCTTGCATTTTACTAATGTATATTTGAGCCAAGCGTACATTACCTATTTCGCGTAACCTTCACCTATCCTCCTCGTGTCAAGTGGTACATGAGGCCTCTATTTATCGTTAAATTAATAACTTGGTGAAGGTAGAGATCTGAAAGTAGTTAACATTGTCATAGACTGAAATATCTCCATGATGTACACTTTGTGTATAGCTTTGGTGTCACTTTGACCTAACGTTTTGACCTTAATTTTTGATTTCTTTATTGCAGACACTTTATGGCTCGAATTAGAAATATACTGAGGGAAGGCTTAGAGGGCTTATTGGCTACTTCTGAGGTATTGTTGCATTCTAACGCCTTTGGTTACATTAAAAATTTTCGCTCCCCCTCCCATAGTGATACTCGTTTATCACTGATTCGTTTGATTACCAGATGTACTATCGCCAGAAAGGTCAGCGGACTCCAACTCGGCCTCAGGCTATCCATGAGAATTTTGACTTCTGTGCAGACGCTTTGGTTCAGCGGTTGACGTCATATAAGACCCAGTCCGAAGAGTATCACAATTCATGCATTCAAGGTGAGAGAGTGTGGACTTCTGTCTTCTCATGCGAATATACTATTTATTTTGCCTGTTTGGTATGAATATTAGTGGCAGGAAGAGATTATTGTTCCCGTTAGTGAAAGAGTGAGCTTTTCACAACCTGAGTGAAGGAAGACAGTACGTACGGAATATGTACGCATTTAAACTTGAACATCATGATGTAAAAATTAACGGGGCAGTTTTCACCAGAATAACAACATGCAGACTGTGGTCTTTCTTTGCCACTGTTTTGAAGACGCGCTTTTTATACCTTGTAACTAACTCCGCTTAGCAGATGTAAACGATTAAACCGTTGATATTGGTGTTGTTGTTTATAGAACTTCGCTCGCAGATGCAGAAGTTTTCGGTGATTTTAGTTCATCTTCCACCTCTGGTAGTAGAGATCATAGTCGCTGATCAGCTGAGCGATTTAGAAAAACAAAGAGAAACGCTGGAGAATGACTATAAAGTCATGGTTCAAGAACTAGAGCGAAGAAAGGTACAGTATAAACAAGTGAAATTTCTTACCGTGCATCGCGAGAAACTTTATGGCCGACGAGAGCTTCCCATGAAGTATAAATGTGGCGTTCTTTCGCGTGCTCCTCACATCTTTTCGCCCGGCGTAAGCAATGAGAAAACTCCAGGCAGCGAAAGGAATAAGAGAAAAGTTTGGGCCGCGATATTCAACGACGTTATAGAGGGTGTCATAGATCTTAAAATACTAATTACGGAGATATTTAATTCGACCTCCGTCGGAAAGAATTCTAATGACTTTCCTGTAAAAAGGAAGGAAACATTCACGTAAGCGATTGGCCAAGAGGATCTACCACATTCCTTACTGTGTTGAATATACGAAGTTACACGGGGTTCTTGATGTTGTCGTAATTTAAACTTTACTTCCTGATCCTGGTTAACGAAGGATAAGGACAGTAAGAATGGACTTTCAGCGTTTTTGAACATTGTACGCTCGCTTGTATCAACATAGGTCTTTGGTTTGAGCGCACTTCAGGCGAAAAAATCTCGATAATGACAGAGGCAAATTAGTTTGTTGCTATGTATTATGCAGAGTCTTCACCAGTCTCAGCTGCGGCCATCTTTGGGCCATCCTCACAACAGAACAGAAATGGACACACTGTGCAGCAGTGAAGAGAGAAGACGACAGGAAGCACTGGATGGAGCTAAACAGCATGCTGAAGCTCTGGCGGTGGGTCATTATAATCCTGCCAAATAAATCGGGCCGTAGAGGGGCGAGTTGGCAAAATTCAGTCTGAATTCCACGTTATTGAGTAGGAAACAGTATTTACTTTGCTACTCAACATTTTAACGAATGGAAATGTTACAGCTAGATTGAAACTTCTCCTTATGCAGTGCTTTTCTGAACGGTTCTTCTTGAGCGAACTTCAAATACGGCAGGCGACGTACATCACAGGATATATGTCATGCGTAGAGCGTTTTCACATGACGTCACGGCGGCCATTTTGGTGTTCCCAAACAATAAAATTTCGCTTCTTTTAGAAACGAATTTTTTTTTATGCAAGAGGAAAAAAAGGGGAAACAGGAAAAAATGAACGCACGCACTCGTGTAATATTTAACACAATAAATATTAATGTAACTTTTATTCTGCTTCTCAGAAACTCGAAGCCCAGTTTGCAGGCGTCTTTATCGAGAAACTCGCGCAGACATGTGAGACCATGTTACTTCAGTTTGATGCAGTTCTCTCTCTGGATGACGTTGAAGTGGGAAGTAAGTTGTTTAGCCATATGTTGTACACAGATTCGTATTTAGTGGTCCTCCAGGTCACTTTTCTCCGCGCGTCCAACATTGCTCATTCTGGGTCGATGGGAACGAGGTTGTCCGGGTCGATCCGTAACAAAAACTACCTCGGAAGTAACCCACCACTTTTTGTACATTTGGAATGTCCAGTTAAAATGCTATATAGCGATCAACCATTTTTGTTTAGCTGGGTTGGTAGGCAGTCTTTGTGCGCTGTTCTAAATCTACGATTCCCTTCGGGTACAAAGAGTTTTATCTTGGAAGTTAGCCCGCTCGTGGCAAACCCAGTTCATTCAGCGAGTCACACGACAAAGCTTTCAAATATTTCATATGATATTTTAACGTCGCGAAACATGTTCATGTTTAAGAAGTTCTAAGACTAACCATAAGATGTATCACGGTACTGGTTTTGTTTTATAGAGGTTGAACCCAAACCAAAGAGCACCAAGAGGCTCTTAAGAGAAAAAATGTCAGGAGACGAAGACGGCAAAGGTAAGGAATCTTAATTGTGCAGAGACCTAGAAGTAGAACAATCGTCAACTAAAAGTCTGTGGTCTGTTCTTTTATGGATCTCTCGCGACAAAAACTCGGCAAAACAGCTACTAGATCCACCACGTGCTTGGTGGAAAATGTGGCTATGTTCTTGATAGAGTAGGTCAGCAAATGACCCTAAATTATTGTCTTTGAATTTTTTCCAACGTGAAATAATTGAATGCAGATATCATCTATTTGAATTTTTAACTTTTTCGCCTGTTCGACATGACGTCACATATTTGCAAAAGAGGAACCACAGTGGGAATTCAAACTCTGCAGTGCTTGCCTTTGCTATTATTTTGCGAGACTAATGCGTTTTTAATCTAATCGTCAGTTTAGACTATTCCTTCTATATGTTAACGAGGTGGACGTTTTCTTTAAAACCCGAATCATACTGTTTATCGTTGTCTCCGAGAGAAAAGTTCCCTCTAACTTTTTTTATATTTCTCGTTCCAGACAAGTTAGCGCCCTTTCCATCTGGTGGAACAACATGGGAAGGACTACCAACGAACGAACTTGTGCTGGAAGAGTCTGTCGACAAGAAACACAATATCCTTTTAATTTCACTTCAGTCTTCTTCGCAAGAGCTAGTTCGAACTTTACCTACATGTGTACCAAGCATGCATGGGTGGAGAGGGAGGGAAGTGGGATTGGTTCGTTAAGAAAACCCGGGTTCTCCTATTGAGCTATATTCGCTTTTGATTTTGCGCCAGGCTTATAGTTATTGAAACAAATCTCGAAAGACTTCTTGTTTTTCTTCTTTTGAAATGTCAGTGTCACAGACTATGAAATACTAAAAATGTTTCTTTAACAGTTTCTCACGAACCCCTACTGTCAAAACGGTCAAGACGACACAAGGTCATCTGGCTGTCATCAAATCACGAAACAAGGCTTACGAGGTAAAATTCTTTATAAATTTACTAAAGCCAAGTTAATTTTGTACTGCATTTATAATGGTTTCATTGGGTTTTTGAGAGAAACAAATGATCTTGACGTCTAAGGCCTCTTCCACACCAATACTGTGTGATTCGTTTTCGCCTATCGTCTACACTGAAACGACCAAAAACGCTGATAAAAACAGAGGCTTTCTACAACGGTTTCAAAAGTGGAGCCTTTTGAAAACGCATCGTTTTGAAAACGTTCCGTTTCTAGTGTGGTAGGTGAAAACGAAGCTTTTGAAAACGGTGCCGAGAAAAGTGTCACATACTGTCGTTTCCATCAGCGTTTTCGGGCGTTTTAACGTGAATAAATTTTGCTGGCACAAATTCAGACATAAGTTGAATATCATTGCTCAAATTAAGGAAATGGGTAATTATCTCTTAATGGCCAGTTCCCTTTTATGCGACGCGCCTGCAGGGAATCATGGTAGTTGTATTCATCAAAAAAACATCCAGTCCAAGGTGTTGAATAAAACTACCATGATTCCCTGCAGGCACATCTCATAGAGGGAATTGGCCATTGATTTTGTCTTTTCTTTTCTTTTTTTTTTTCTTTTTTTTTTTCACATTCTTCAGGATTATAAAGAGAAGTTTGAGTCTCGCCTGATGGCCATTCGAGAGGCAACGAGTGCGCAAATTCAGAACGAGGAAAGATGGACAAGAAGCTGGCAACGATCCATCAACAAAATAAAAGAACTTTACTGAGATGACTTAGTTCAATTACTAGGCTGAGTTTCTATTTTAGAGGAGGTGACATCTTGTATGGTTTACATTGCAAAAAGGAAAAGGAAAGACTAGCAGTGAAAACGAAAAGAAAAATCACATTTGTCTTACTTTAGCTTTTTGAGGTCATATTTCTTGTACAGGTATTTATTTGGTTTGAACCTTCAAGACTGTAAAAAATGTAAATAAATGGATGTTGAGTAAACGACTGTTTTGTAGAATGCAGTGAAGTGTATTTGTTAATTTTTACCCGAAATCAGTGGATAAATATAGTTTGAAAATGTTTCATTTCGTGGACATCGGCCCAAACCATTGATTACCTAAATGAACTTGAGAGAGATGCAGCAAAAAAACACATGAAGAAGTACTGCAAAACTCCAGTAATGATTACATTCATTCAAAAGGTTTTTTATGTTTATCTCTATACATAACGACCTGAAACACTGAGCAAGTACTTAACATGGAAAGTCTTCGAACATACGCTCACTACATAAAATACAAAACATATTCTTCAAAGAGCGGCTTACAATCGGAATTGTTTTGGGGAGCAGGGATGGCACAGTGGTGAGAGCGCTCGCCTCCCTCTTATGAGGCACGGGTTTGATTCTGGCCCGGTGTCATGTGTAGTTTGTTGTTGGTTCTCGCCTTTCTTCGAGGTTTTTTTTCCGGTTTTCCTCCCTCCGCAAAACCAACATTACCAAATTCCAATTCGACCTGGATAGAGGAGCCGCATGAAAACCAATTAAGGCTGATTTGGCTTCCTCTCTCAATATTGCAATTGACTTTTTTATTGTTATATCTGAGTTACATGATGTAAACATGCCTAGAATGTCCGAATACGATATCTAATTTTCATGTGTCTCCATTGCGTACCAATCGTCCTCTCCCAACTACATGTGTACATGTAGGTAACAGGTCGCGTAAAAGGCTTGGCAGTTCTATAACGGCGCCTGGACTACACTTCCATATTGGCTATCTCAAATCAATCTATTTTCAGGTTCTGTTTGCCAGGAACACTGCTACTTGCTCCATAATATCTGAAAACGAAAAAAAAAAAAGTAACTTTAGCATACGCTGGCGAATATTCAACATATTAAAGCAATCGATTTGTGTGCCAATGCCAAACGAGTCGATCATAGTTTCGGTAGTCGTTAATTAATAAGTTCTAACATTCCGATCCAACAACGGTTCATTAGCTTGCATAGGAGGTGGGATTTAGCGCACGAGTTTGTTTTAGTGGGGAAAGTCTCTAACAAAAGTGGCGAAGGTGACGAGTCCCTCGCCGCTCGCGAAAATACCCGAATTACTGTCAGATCGATCTTTGGTCAGATCATTTCAGTACCGTGGAGCGATCTATATTTGTTTAAGTTTTTATAACTGGAACGATCTAATTTTTTTGTGGAACTATCCGACTTGCAACGATTTGTTCTCTCGCGGCCTCGCCCCTAGCGTCCAGGGCTCAGCTCCGCCGGTGAAAGCACTCACGTGAGAAATCCTGCCAGCGACGCAGGCTACGTTTAACGAGGACTCCTTTAAGGAGACGAAGTCTTTAACTTCCAGTATCACTACTATCTCCTTAATTAATATCTCAGCTTAGAATCATAAAATATGAATAAAGCCTGAAGCAGACAGGTAAAGAAATACTTAAGACAGATAAGAAATCTTTTAGGAATATTTTTCTAAGGTATTACCAAACGCCAGGGATGACAAACGGTACCTAGATAATTTTGGGTCTTGGAAACTTTTGATTCATCTCCAAATTTTACAATCTTACATGATGAGTCAGGAATACTCGTTTTACTATGTTTCATTCATTTTGAGATTAAAATCGTTCGAGTCTCAGTATTGGACCGGATTTTCAAACAAGGGTTTCAGCATCTCGCAACTCTTAAATTTTACCATGATCAGTAAGTAATCACTTTAACAAATCACAAAGAACAAAGACAATCCAATGAACCAATTAAAACTCGAAGTAGTAATGCTGATGCAAAGCACGGAAAAACTTGTGCGAACGAGTTAGGATTGGTTTTGGGTAACTTCTGATTGGATGAAAAAAGTGGCGCGAGATTTTTTGAGCGGTTTTTAACTGTGTCGTGAAACCAAAACCAAACCAATTTCTTACCAATTAGGTCACTAAAAGCCAATCTCAAACCATAGTAAGACCAAAACCAAAGTAATTGTCTAATTACTTTCGACACTCAACTGCAAACTGCTGTAAGCCAATCGTGTTGCGTAGTAATGCAAAACCAATTTTTTCTTGACTCTTAATGAAAACTGCTCTAAATGCCCATAAAAAACCTTTAGTTAACAACTGCATTAAAACAAAATACATCCTTTCTACAGCAAACATTAAGCAAATGCCGCTGCCCTCAAGTTGTTACATAACTACCAAGATCTTGTTGACCACATCTCACCTCTTATCTTGTGAGCGTGCCTGTGTTGGGTGGAGGCCCACTCCCTGATTGCTGTATATACATTTGCCATTGGTGTGATGTAAGTTATTCTGCCCAAAATGTCAACTTTTTCCTCATATCTTGGCAATTATGTCAAGAAACCTGACCACACAGCCTTCAACAGCATAATATCAATAGCATATCACACAACATAAAATATTTTGTAAGACTCTTCCACATCCTTGGAGATCTGGGACTGTCAACTAGGGAGTTCAGTACTAAAAAGGGTGGCTAAAAAAAAAAAAAATGCAGTGGAATAATAACTCACGACTGTATTCTTTTTGATGGTGTTACAGGAAGTATTCATGGCTGATTTATTCATTTCTCATATTTTTCCTTTCCCCATTAAGGCTTGAGTTAAATACTACAAATTAAGTATGTACTATCTTTAAAACCCTTGAAAAAGGTCTGTATACTGACTGCACTGATACTGCACGCCTTAAAAGCAATAGCCACTCATAAACAGCTTCGAAACCACATGTAGCCATAAAAAAATTATTTTTGGTTTTGAGCAGATTGCAGTAATGTATTGCGCCCTTGTCAATGGAAAAACATATAAAACAAGAACACAAAAACCCTCCCTTCCACAGGTACAATTCCATGTCAGCTAAAATGAGTCTATCAACATCCACTTTTGATTTTTAAGGATACAATTCACTGTAAATTCTTTCCAAATCACTGAGCCACTCCAGAAGGTCTGCTATTGAAGGCTGAGTGGAGGTTCCCTCACATACCACAGACACTGGAACAGAACCTAAGAGAGGATTATGGTTACTGTAGTTAATGATCTGTTGAATGTCTTTGAAAGCCACCTCAAACAAGTACTCAATTTTTTTTTCTTCACAGTATGACTATCTCTGAAACTTTCAGCTCATTGATTTCATAGAAAAGAGTCATCATAAAATGGTTGCAGTTGTTCATTTGCATTGGAGAACAATAGTAATAAAGTATAATTGTTTGTCTCAAGCTTACCAGTCAACCTCGTCTTCTTGTGAAGAGTATAGCAGCATGAAGTGAAAATGTACAATCTAGATTACAAGTGACCAAATTTTGAGACACACAATTACACCTTTTTATCAAAAGAGCCATTGTTTTCTATCAGGATTGTTCTTTGAAAAAACAAAGTGAAAATCTCATGTTTGGGCAGTTTTATTGGCATAAGACTCAATATTCTCCCAGTATGGCCCTGCTGCTGGTTAATAAGATATATCTAAGCACCTGATCACTGCAAACTACATACTAGTTATGCAATGCTTTCAAGTGGTATACCGTAAAATATCCCACAAGTCACTTGAATTTTCTCAGAATACACAAGTGCTTTTAGGCGTTATTCCAAGGAAATATAAGGGACAAGTGGGATATTCTATGGTCACTATGACAGAGGCATAACTATTTTATACCATGCCATAGAAAATAGAGTGGCCAACATAATCAATGCGACATACATGTGGCGCATGACGTGAAGGTGGGATTTAATACCACCAAATGTAGAACATCTTTTCTGTACTCTTATTGGCTTTGTTTTCTATGGCATGGTATAAATTGTATTACTCTCTACTTACCTGATTGGAGTGTATAAACTTGTAAACTGCTAGACCAATGCGTTGACATCTTCTTTGAAATAGTTTTGAATGTGTTCCTGAAACAACCAAAGGCAGTACCAGTGTCTCAACAAATTCAATTACAAACAAGATGCTGGTGTTGTGTGACAACCCTAATAATGGCTGTGAAGCAGACTAGATGCCAGTTGGAGCTTGAACAATGAGATTAAAGATGAGTAGTCGTTCCTTGTCAGCCATCAAAACTGAGGACATTACAATCAATGATTTTGATAATCAATAAAAATCGATTGAAATCGATAATTTTTGATACTAATTGAGCTTAATCGATATTGATAACGAAAATCTGAAATTGATAGCAAAATTTTCTTGATCATCAATTCCGATCAATTTCTGTAATTTGTGTTCAAATTTTATCAACTCCTCTCGACCAGGCCAGGGGGCCATGACTAAAAGTAGGTGAGCTAGGCAAAGTCTGCATACGAGCCACGTGGCCCATCAGGCCGGCACTTATCTCCGGTTTCCGTAGCATGAAACGATTAGGAGTATTTCTTCTCCCCGGCCCCCTGGATGGAATTCTTGTCCATCGCAGGGTTAACCCTAGCGGTAAATTCGCCATTACCCATTTGTACACCTGGGTGGAGAGAGGCATTGTGAGAGTTGAGTGTCTTGCCCAAGAACACAACCCGATGTCCCCAGCCAGGGCTCGAACCCGAACCGCTAGATCCGGATCGAGTCGAGCGCACTATCCATGAGGCCATTGCGCCTAAAAGTGACTACTTATAAAATAGCTTACATGTTGTCCTGCAACTTTGTCATAATAGTTTCTGTTTGTTTTAGCAGCTTGTATTGCAGTTTCTCCTTCAACCCTTCAAAATCACCGAGAGGGGGACGTTTGAAACAAGCCTTCTCACATGAGCGCAACTGTTCCAGCGGACTCGTCAAAGACTGAATCAGTTCATTGGAATGATGATCGGTTTCATTCCACAAATTAAGCAGTCTGCCGATCTCTTCGTATGATTTTGCGAGCTTCTCGAGGCACAGGTCGTCCCCCTTTGCCATTCTAATCTGAGCGATTGGGCGATTAGCGCTTTGGCGCGACCAGCACTTTAGACGCCATATTGTTATTTCGCGCCCGCACATTTCGTATGGCTACTGGTCAGCGGCTAAGAGAAAGACGATACGTGGTGTAACAATGTGTAACAATCTGCCGAACCCACATCAAAGTTATCATCCACCGAAAAAAGGAAACCGTGCCAAACTGTAGAATTTCGTTCTTAGGAAAAGATTTCCCAACTATCATAACTTAGGTGTCGTCTAATTTACGCCACATGAAACGAGTTCTACGGAGACAGGACTTTTTT